TAAAATGATACATAAAATTAATTTTGCATGCTACAGCTGGCTCGGTCTAGTTGAAACCAACCGTAACAAGTGGATGGGCAGACTTCTCTTGGGGAATCGCGTTTATTTACCCTGCCACTGGCTCTTTGGTTCCATTGCGCACGCGCCCCCACGGCACAGGAACGGGGTTCTTTGTAGCCTGGATATAAATGTGCCCCGTGTTAATTGTCGTTGCTGCTCTCTCCCGGGTAATCATCCCCTATTAAGTCCCTAATTAGCTCCACTCTTCCCTTGCTTTAGAAGCTTGGTGGTGGAAGTTGGGGAGTTGTGACTATTTCCTCCACTTTGGGGCGTTCTGGGTGCTGGCTCTTCCCCGCGGCGGGGATGTCGAGTGGGGGTGTCTGGACGCAGCACCAGGAGCTTGCAGAGTCAGCGTATCCCCAAAGCAGCAAGTGATTAACAAAACAGATCCAGGATCTGGGAGAATTGGGTCAAATACCTCCCCAAATGTAAAGGCTTTCTTAAGTTAACAGCATCGCCTGGAACCAGCAGGAAAAACACCCCAGGAACCCGTGAGAAAATGAGCTGCGTTCACCGGCTGAAGGACGCCTGGGGCCTCATCGTCACGGGAGTGTAGTGGTGGCAGTGCCATGTTTGGTGGGATCAGGTCTTGTCTTTGAAAAACCAAAGTGCAGGTCATTTAGGGAAGGGAGTGGGGGGGTGGGGCAGGTGTCCCAAGCACAGACACTGCCTGCTGTCACACCTGTTGGAAAGTCTTCAGAATACTTAGTCCTTCCTCCCCTTTGGGGTTTGTCGTGAGACAGCTTCCCCAGAAGCAGTGTCTGGGATGGCGCTGGATGCCTGTGAGTCAGGGAGGAGGGCTTCCCGGGGAGCAGGGAGCAGGAAAGAGGGCAGGAAGAGACTAAGTGAGGATGTGGTCTCAGCTGGAGGCCGAGCCTCATGCGCCCTGGACCATGAACTGCACCATAGACTTGGCCCACCCTCCACCCCGCAGGCATGCGGGGCTGCAGGCTGCCCCGGGGGGGAGGCATCCAAGTGAGGCAGCCACTGGCTGAGCACAGTTGTCTAAGGAAGGTGCAGGTGTAAGTCCAAGGCAGCCCAGCTCAGCGAGCTGAGGGTGGGTGCACCTGGCTGTGAGGTTGCTCAGCAGGGAGGGGGCACCAGCACTGACCGTGACTGCGATCCTGGCACCAAACTGGAAAATTAAGAGAAAAGAAGAATAGACGCTAAAATAAAAGTTGGAAGGGGCTTCAGAAATCATCTGGGGACCCTAGTCCACCACCCTTCTTTTAAAAATGAGGACACTGGGGCCGACCCGGTGGTGCAGCGGTTAAGTTTGCACATTCCGCTTCTCAGCAGCCCAGGGTTCGCCGGTTTGGATCCCGGGTGCAGACATGGCACCGCTTGGCAAAAGCCATGCTGTGGTAGGCGTCCCATGTATGAAGTAGAGGAAGATGGGCATGGACATTAGCTCAGGGCCAGTCTTCCTCAGCAAAGAGGAGTATTGGCAGCAGTTAGCTCAGGGCTAATCTTCCTCAAAAAGAAAAAAAAATGAGGACACTGAGACCCTTGCAATGAATTCACTGCCTGAGTTGTTGTAGACCCAGAGGGCAGAGCTGCTCTGAGAGGTAAGCCTCCGAGCCCCCAGACTCCTAGCTGAGTGCTCCCTCCCTTCAGTGGCTCCAGAGGAGGGAGCAGGTTGGTCAGCCCTGGGATGAGGCAGTTGGCACCTGAGTCTCGATGCCCAAATCACTGATGTGTGTGTGTGTGTGTGTGGAGGAGCCGTGGGTACAGGATGACTTCCTGCCAGGGACATGGAACCTCTTGGATCCATCAGCTGCGGCAGGACCAGCAGAATCTGTTCTTTGTTCTAACAGGTGAGGGGAGGGCTCCCTGGAGACCTTAAAGGTCCACACAGCAGGTCTTAAATCTTAGGTGGATAGACAGGGAGGCAGGGAGCCAGGGAAGCTTCTAGAATTTTCCAGCCATGCCAAATGCAGTCAAACATCATGAAAAAAATAAATAGTCCAAGCCAGACTGGCTGCCAGGAGCTTTGGTCTTGGAGCTGTTTTTCCAGCCAAAGCCCAGTCAAAGAAGGCGCCTGAAGCCTGCGTGTGGGGTGGTGGCTGGCCGCCTCTGAGCATCCGAAGGCTGATTCCAGGCATGGCACCGTGAGCGGGTGGTGCTCAGGCTCTGCTGCGACAGCCCTGCGCTGCTGGTCTGCTTCTTTCTTATGACATTAACCACAGCCGTTGTCCAGTTGAAGCTGGAAGCAGAGCCTGCCTTCAGGACAAGAAAACCGCTCCCCACAGTCCTCAAAAGGTGCAGGCCGAGAGTGGGGTCCTAAGAACAAGCGCTGAGTGTTGCTGAGGAGCGCGGCCTCCCAGCCTGAAACGGAAGCATTCCATCAGCAGAGCTGCGTCTGTCCGTCCCAGAGGGGAGGAGCCGAGTTCCTCTGTCAGGGTTTATGGTCCCTGCTAGCCCAGAATTCTGGGTGAATTGTGCATAATTACAGCACAGCGTAGTTACCTTCAGCTCTATACTCAATAAGCCCTCCCCGCTTCCTCCTCAGCTCTGCTCAAGGAGCGCAGCTCCCAGGCCGGATTGGTGAGGCGCCCCCTGCCCAGGCACGCTGGGGGCAGAGGAGGACTCCACCACTAGGGTGGGGGTCCGGTTCCACTTTGCCTGTCTTGCCCCTGGACTTCCAGCCCCCAGCACAGGCCTGAGCAGTGCCCCTGTGGGCCCACGGGCTGTCCTGCCTCTGATAAGAGTGGGGGCCCTCATATCTGGCTTCGGTTTTCTCTTAGCCAAGGAATGTTAGAATAACACAAATCTGCATTCCAACTCCCACCAACCAGATGTTGGAACTGAGGCCACATGGGGTGAGGGGAAGCTCTCAAGGTCACCTGAAGGTCAAGGGCAGGTCTAGAGCTGGCAGGTGTGTCAGTCAGGACAGTCTTCTTCCACCTGCGTTGACCAGGCCTGCGATGGCCAGTGACTGCGGGCACAGTTTTGCCATCACTGCTGGCTGGATGCAGGTCTTGATGCTGGCACCCAGGACCCAGAGGGACCAAGGGTGAACTCTGTTGACTGGTCTACCACAACCTCAGAGGCTTCAACTGCACACGTGGATCATCTCACAGTTCTGGAGGGCAGGAGTCCCACGTGGTCCCACAGGACTAAAGCCAAGGTGCGCAGGGCTGCTTCCTCCTGGAGGCTCCGGGGGAGAATGTGTTCCTTGCCCTCCCAGCTTCCAGAGGCACCTGCGCTCCTCAGCCCGCTCCTCCGTCTTCAAGGCCAGCAGTGTAGCATCTTCCAGGCTCTCTCTCCCCTGTGTGTGTGTCTGTGTGTCTGTCTGACGTCTGCTTCCATCCTCTCCTCTCCTTCACTGCCTCTGACACTCCTGCCTCCCTCTTCCTCTTACAAGAACCTTGTGATTACAGTGGACCCACCTGGACGATCCAGGGTGACCTCCCATCTCAAGATATTAGCTTAGTCACATCAGTGAAGTCCCTGTTGCCGTGTAAGGTCACACATTCACAGGTTCTGTGGATTAAGATGTGGACATCTCTAGGGGCCATCGTTCTGTCTACCACACTCATGAACTTGGCCTGGGCGGGGTAGTATATCTGACAGACCACCTCAACGTCATTTCTGGGAAGGGTGGTGGTCTGCCTAGAGTTCCCTTAACAGAGGAGTCTGTCCCAAGCCCTGTTCATGGCCCCTGGAAAGCGTCTCTCTGGGTTGGGTATGGAGATTCGGGGGTGGCAGTGATTTTCTCTGTGCAAAGCAGAGTGGCCTTTGCTGGCCCAGATCCACACCGACAGCAGACAACCATGTGTGTCTGACTGGGTGAGGTAGAGGCCAACATAGTGCCGGGCAGGCAGTCCCCCAATTGGTCAGAGGTCCTGCCTCCGAAAAAAATGAACAGCCAGAGGGCTGGGCACACAGGGGCTTTTCCCACCCATTCCCACAGCATCTGAGGAGACCAAGGAGAATCCTGGAGCTGTCAGGACCCTCAGAGGTCACTGGGGGAAGCTGAGGCCCAGGGAGGGGAGAGGCGTTGCCCGAGGGAACCTTCTGGAAGGCCCAGACCAGAAATGGGCCTTGATGCCAGCACAGGGCCCGTTCTCTGCACCATCCTGAGATCGGTCATGGGACAGAGCTTGAGCCCGAGGCCAGCCTCGTGGCCTTGAGTGGCCGTGTGCCTTGGGATGCTTTGAGGCCAGATCTGAATTCCCGCACGTTTCCGCCTTACAGGCACGCACAGTCCTCAGGAAGGGGTCCCTCTTTCTTTTGTTTTTCTTCACTATTTTTCCTTTTCAATTTTTTTTCCTCTCTGATAGCTTTCCACAGATAAGGGGCCTTAAAAATGCATATTATTCTTTCAGAGATTTTGGATTCCTATATATGAAAATTCAAAGCTTAAGTCATTGCTCTTCTGAAAACCAGCTGGGGCAGGAGGGTGAAGTTGCTAATCAAAGCAGCCCATTGCTATTCTTGCTGCTGGCGAGCAGTGAGCTGTGGACCGTGCATCCTCCGTGGCTGTGAAACCCCGTTGCACACGCTGTGCTTAATTGGGAAGTTTCCCGGGAACCACTCTCAAATTACTAGGTCCCTGAATCCAGGGCCAGAGGCGCCCTGAACACTCAGGTTCTGAGTTGGAAGTACATTAAAACAGAGACTCTTGGTGTCCGGGAAGAACTCCCACCTCCTGCGGGCTTGTTAAGCTGCTTGCTTTGCTGAACTTTGGTGTCCTTACTGGTATAAGGGCGGGCAGGGTAATAGCTACCTGTTAATCAAATGAGAAAAAATACAAAAGATCTGTAAAGGACCCTGAAAAGCCAGACATGACCATTATTATTTATACTTTACATAAATAACCTTTGCAAACCTGTTGATTTCAATCATGATGGACTTTTTGAGTTAGGATGCACATCAATGATTTTTGAACTAAGTATCTTTGAGGGTAACTAAGATGAGTTTCTCACCTCAAACAGGTGTGTGGTCTGGACGGGCGACGACCGTGTTTTCTTCTTCAACCCCACGATGCAGCTGTCTGTCTGGGAGAAGCCCGTGGACCTCAAGAACCGCGGGGACCTCAACAGGATCATCGAAGACCCGCCCCACAAGCGCAAGCTGGAGGCCTCACCAAGTAACTAAGAGCTGGGCTGTTTGCGTTCACTTTCATGAGGGTTCAAATTGTATATTCCTAGTGAACATGAAAGGGAAGCTTGTTTATCTTGGTTACGTTGGAAACTGAGTTTTAAGGAATCGTGTTCACTATTTCAGAATTTAGTAATTAAGTTTTTATGGCATTTTCTGCAGAAACATCAGCTTCTGCTTTATTCTTGCATTAGGTAAAGTTATTAACTCAGAGAAGGCCTTTTATTCCGTCAGCCACTGGAAACTTCCTTTCCAGCATTGTCATTAGCCAGCCTTGAATTTTTGTTCCAAATGTCTATGAACCTCACTTGAGGGACCAGATGTACCCAAATGGGAGCGTGCTTCCTTCCACCTCACTCGTTCGCTTTAGAGCCTTGGCTGAAACCCATCCATTGTCTATTTGAAGGAATGCTTGAATTCAGTGGCGTCACGGGCATGGAGACAGAAAGGATTCCTCTCAGCTGTAGAGGAATGGAATGCTTGGCAGAGACGAGCTGTTTCTGACGATGCCCGTGGAAATCTTGTTTCCCGGGAGTCAGAGAAGAACGTCTAACATTTTCAGAAAGGATCCTTTACGATTAGATGTAATATATTTTTTATTAGCTGCTGTGTCGGGAAAGCCCCACTCCCTTGGCTAAGCTGGAGAAATTTGAGATCAGGAGCTCTCCCCGACCTGAGATGCACACGTTTGGCTGCAAGGCCGGGAAATGGGATCCTGACCCCTTGAAAGAGGGTCTTTGTTCTATTTTTGTGGAGTGTTTTATTAGGTTTGTAATGATATTTTTGATTCCACATTATATAACACAAGATGACATCAGCCCACATTTTTCATCAAATCCAGAGGCATTTGACTGGAACTTTAGAAAACGGTATTATAAAAATTTTCTTAACACTTTTAACAGCACTAAGAGAAATGGCAAAGATTGCTCTTGCAAAGCTCAAAGCTCATAGTAGTCTTTTAAGATTGAGAGATGACAGGTTTAATATGTTTATTTCACTTAAGATAACAAGAACATTCTCCAGAGAGCTTGCGTCCACTGATGTTGGGAAAGAAAAATGTTCTAGGTGCATATTTAACTGGATCTCTAAAAAACTTAGCTGTATTCAGGGACAATAAGAATTGGGTTTTTGATTTCGTTTCCTCCTTTGATCAAGTGGCATGCATGTTTAAAAGGGATATTTTGTGTATCGAAAGAAGGCTTAAAAGAAAAAAATCCTCATAGGAAACCGCCTCCCAAGTTCCTTCCTCAGAGACAGGAGATGCTGCACAACTCAGGAATATCACAAGACCTACAAGTCCCAGGAGGAGCACTAAGGCGCAATTTATCACGGCAGTGATTTTATTTGTTTGGAAAAAGACAAATAACGCAGGGGATTCCTGCTCCTTTCTTTAGCTCACTTTCTTGTAGATAATTGGGTACTGTTCCTTCCTCTTTTTTCCCAAAGCATTGGTAGGACTGAGAAGAGAGGAGCTCATGGGCAGTCAATGCATAGCTGCTCCCCATGTCTCTCCTTTGGATCAAATCAAGCCAAGTCTGAGAGAAATGGAGAGGTGCCCCCAGACTGCCCACTGAGTCATCTGCCGGGTCGACGCTTGTGAGGACCGTCGGAAGAGGACAGTGGTAAAAGATGAACCGAGGCATTAAAACTTTGAAGAGTTTATCTGAGCAAAAATGAGTTAGAATTAGGCAGTGGCAACCTGGAAGTGGTTAGGGGCGCTCCACTGGTGGGAGCGTGGAAAGACTTACGTAGAGAAGGTGGGAAGCAGAGAAAGGAAATGATTGTGTGGCCACAGCTTAAAGCCTCGTTGGCTGTGTGAGATGGGTTGTCCTCAGTGTTCTGATTAATTTCGGACCTTGAGGCTTTTATAGGCTTCGATTACACTTTGCTTACGTAGGTTGTCAAGGCATTGTCTAATGGCCTCCCTGTCTAATTAATCTAACAACAGGGACCTGCATTACTGGGTCATAGATCAGTGCACTACTAACATGGATCTCATTTTATACTCAGAAAGGTGGAAAATTGAGCCTCAAAACTTAACAAACACAACCAGAAATAGCTGATAGATTTAGATTTAATAAATCAAGCTATTTTGTCTTCCCTCAGCTTGCTATGGAGGCCCTGACTGCCCCACTTAGATATGTGATGATAAAATTATGTGTAGTTACAAGAGGAGTTTTAACCTTGCTTCCTCTTATCAAAGGAGGAAGAGATTTTCTTAAACAAGTATATTTTTAACCTGGATCTTACAGATTTGCAAATGACCTCAACTCTCAACTTACTGTTGCAAGGTACAATTGACATTTAAGTGTATAACTTCTAATTTGTTAAGATCCACCCACCCAAATTGTGTTGTTTGCAGTAAAACAATTAGGTCAGGAGGTGTTTCTGAGGGATTAATTAGCGATTAGCATCAGAGTTGATGACCTCCAGCCGTGAGCAAGTGGCATTTTTTCCTGCCTGGTCATCCACCAACAAGCCTCATCCAATAATTTGACTCTAATTATTACAAGCTCTAGGGGAGATGGCTCCTGGTGTGGAATTTTGTTTTTCACATTTCGTTCAACTATGAGTCATTATACATTTGAATATATTAATACCTGTTATTAGTCTAAAATGGAACAATTAAGCATTCCATCTGATACCCATTATTTTTCAAGAGGCAAATGAAATAAATGCATTTTATAAAATAGCAGCCACATTTAAATGCTGTTAGGTTTAGTGGTGCCTGTGCGTGTGTGTTTACTCGGGGTATCAGGCGTGGAAGTGGAGCTAATAGTGTTAGGCAGCTATGGGGCGCAGGATACCGAGCTGCCAAAAGTGCTAAGCCACTCATCGTTCAACAGATAAGGACAAAGTCCCTTTTTCTCACTCTGTTAGCGTTGCTGAGAGATTCGCACGAAGGCCTGAATTATTTCCTAATTATCTTGCAGTGCGTCCAGATTTGTTATGGCTCTAGCAGCTATGCTGTTAGTTGAGAATAAATGCCTATTGAACTAAAGTGAAATGAGAATACCACCTTTGCCCCACATCCGTTTCATGGCGATGCTCTCGGGACTAGTACCAGCTCTTCGGTTTGGAGGATACTCACTTTGTTCTCCCCCAGCTTCAGCATTCCTGAAACCTGTCGGAGGTTCAGTTCTTTCTCTTGAGTTCCCTGCAGCCCCAAAGCCCTCCCTTCCTAGTGATGGGTAGACATCTCCGGTAGTCTGGCTGATGCACCTGCTGCCTCGTTGCCGGGTCAGCTCAGCCTGCCCAGTCCACAGTGGAGTATCCCGTCCCTTCCACTGGGAGGGTCTCGTGCCGCCAGTGGGAAATATCAGAAGGTGATTAGATAAGTGCCCATGGGCTTGTCCTCTGGGAGGGGGACAGGAAAGGCAGGGGGAGAGATGAGGAACCTGACCTCTCTCTCCTGCCTTTTTGTCTCCCGCTGGTACCTCCTAGTGGCTGAAGAGGACAGGAGCCTGAGGGGTGAGAACTGCAGAGGCGGCCTCCTCCTGGGCATGGGGGAGGATGGAGGGAGCCCTGGAGGGAAATGGGGAGAAGGTAGCTCCCCCGACTGGGTTGTTTAGAGCTCACACAGCCCCAGGAGATGGGTGCCTTCTGTATCAGCTTCCTGTGGCTGCTGTCACAAATTGTCACAAACTTAGTGGCTCAAACACCAACTTAGCACCTTAGAGTTCTGGTGCTCAGAAGCCCAACGCAAGTCCCACTGGTGCTGGCAGAGCTGTGTTCTTCCAGCAGGCTCCAGGGAAGACTTACTTCCATGCCTCCTCCAGCCTCAGAGGCCACCCAATTCCCTCAGCTCCAGGCCCCTTTCTCCACCTTCAGCAGCAGCATAGCATCTCCGGATCTCTCTCTGGCTGCCTCTTTCTCTTTACAGAGTCCTTGTGATTACACTGGGCCCACCTGAACAACATAAGACCATCGCTCCATCTCAAAGTCAGCTGGTTAGGAAACTTAATCCCCCTTTGCCATGCAATTTAATATATTCACAGGTTCCAGGGATCAGGGCGTGGACATCTTTGCGGGCCATTATTCTGCAACCCACCATCATTTTGCCCATTTTACAGAAGAGGGAATTAAAGAAAGGAGATTAATTAACATGCCCAAGGTCACACTTCTATCAAGTTGGGGGACAGGGATTTGCACCCTGGCGGCTCTGCCTCCAGATCCGAGGGGTGGGGGTGGAGTGACAGCCTCACCAGGCATCTTATGAGCTTATGATAAAAACGAGGTTTTGGAAAGCATTTTGCTCCCCACGACTGACACAGGAACTGTCGGGTGCAGGCAGCCGTGCACTCAACACTGCTTTGTGCCCACCCTGTAATAGAGACCGTGCGACTTCAGCAGGCTTCAGTTGCTCTGTAAACATTTTAGTCATTTATATTCAAGACAAATGTGCATTGATAATGACATTCATTTCACCAAGTGGACATAAAGCCGTCCCAGTGAGTAAACACAGCTGTGACTTGTGAAAGGGTGGCTTTCCCAAGCATTGTTTGCCCAGGGACAGTGTACACAGATCTCCAGATCACAGTGGGACAGGTGGCAGCCAGCACTCAGCAAGACCCAGGACCACTGAACATGCTGACTTCTTGTGCAAAGTGGCAACGCTGTGCGTCCCTGTTCATCCGAGAGGACTCAGGTTGATGGGAGAGGCCTTCCTTTTGCAGGACTCACCCACCCCGACTCTTTGGGAGGAACCCTGACCTTCACAGGGGACCCATGTTCCACACCCTGGCACCGCCTGGTAGCCCTATGCCTCCTCTTTGCACAATGAACGAACCACGCACCTGGCTTTGTTAGCTCCACTTAAGCGCCCACACTGGTCCGTCTCCATAACGTGACCCCCAGATAGAGCAGGTGAGTGGAGACAGGTCAGCCCTCCGGAATCCCTTGTCGACTTTTCCAGGAAGCAGAGCGTGGGGTGCCTCTTGAACTCCTGATAGAATTGGCCAGGCAGCCCACGCTGGGAAGGAGCAAGCT